GTGGCTCAGCTCTGCCAAATCTTTGTCAGGCAGCTGTGTTAGCTTTATGATTTATGCTATTCCCATCAGATACAGCTGTGCCACCTTAGGTCATTCCCAGGAGAAAGTATTTTAGAAAAGACCAAGAGAAAGTAAATGATCTTACAAATTGTTTTAATTTTTGAATCTTGTTTTCTGTTTCTGGACATTGGCTTCAGGATTCACACGAATTCCTTCGTTTCAGTATTGTGACCACCTTTCCCCATCCCCACTCCCCAGAGCTTGAACAACATTGATCCTATCTAAATAGGAGTCCTGTTTGACTCTGGGGGTTGACTTTCTCAGTCAGCAGAACCAAGGTCAATTATCTGGAAACGGTGCTGCCAATGCTGGCGGCCAGATCTGAGAGGCCGGGCAAACTTTAGATTCTGGTTTTAGGCCAGCAACAAAGAACTGTTGGCATCATCAGTTGAACAGGCAGCAAGTGTGCATTCCATTCTGGGGTGGGACTGAGTGAACGTGGCACAGACCCTTTCCTGCTGTGAGAAAGTTGCGTTAAGCTCAGCTCTCAGAAAACAAATGGGGCTTAGTGTTTTGCGAAAACTGTAGTTTGGCAGAGATTTTTCTCTTTGAGCAGGATTCTTGTTGAGTGAGACAAAAAAGACTAAAAATATTTTAAAGTATGTTTTGATTGAAATATTCCTATATATGCCTCAAATTAAAGAATATTTCTTTTTTTTTAGTGAATTCTGGCTCAGGATCAGGATGTTGCTAGGTGTGGAGACACAAACATGTAAGACCTAATGTGCAGTTGGGATAAGTACAGAGGATAACACATACATGTTTACACATATAATATGTGTGATTTATATGTGTGTATATGTGTAATTTACATATGTATCATGTCATTTACATATGCACACATATAATTTATGTATAGAATAGTCTCCCTTATCATTACAATATTGATGCCTGATGCAGGGAGGCCAAGCGATGTGAAGGAGCTATTAGGCGATAGAATCACAAAGACCAGATTTTACAGGTTGACTCTTAGCTAATGAACCTTGGGAACTGACGGCTCTGAGTTCCTGTTTCTTAACTGGAAAACGGGGCATTTATCGATGGTGGCACTGTAGGAAGTGGCAGTGTAAGAAATAACTGAGTCTTTCCTACCAAATACTATAAAACTTGTGTTTAGGGCAAGAACTAAATCTTTATATGTCTCCCCACACTGTGAGACTTGAATGAAAATGGTTTAATCCCCATTCCCCAGTAAAATAATTTGCTTACAAAGTCCTGCAGCTCTATTCTAGAGATTGTATGGCCTGGAGCTGTGACCCTCTACTCCCCTGAGGAGTGACCCCTTTCCCATTCCTCTCCTGGCTACAGTTCTCTTCAGATTAGCCAACTGAATAAAATTGTAAGGTCAGCCTTGGTGGAAAGACACAGCCATCACCTGAGTTAGAATGAAAAGCAGATGCCTATCTGGTCTCAGTGCTCTCCTGGTCAAGAGTGAAGGCTGCCTTGTCCAGGCACTTCAGCTGGAGTGGCCCAAGCATTTCTGATGTTAGATGCTGTCTGAGTTAGGGTTTCTACTGCTCGGAAGAGACACCATGACTGGACTATTTTCTCTTTCTCTTTCTCTTTCTCTTTCTTTCTTTCTTTCTTTCTTTCTTTCTTTCTTTCTTTCTTTCTTTCTTTCTTTCTTCTTGAGACAGGGTTTCTCTGTAGCTTTGGAGCAAGTCCTGGAACTCCCTCTTAGACTAGGCTGGCCTCAAACTCATGGAGATCTGCCAGTCTCTGCCTCTCAAGTGCTGGGATTAAAGGCGTGCCATGTTCTCTCTTATAAAAGGAAACATTTATTTGTAGTGACTGGATTAAAATTCAGAGGTTTAGTCCATTAGCATCATGGTGGGAAGCAAGGTAGTATACAGGCAGACATAGTGATAGAGGCAGAACTATGAGTTCTTTTTTTAAAAAATTTTTAAAATTTATTTTACATACCAACCACAGTTTCCCCTCCCTCCTCTTCTCCCATTCCCTCCCCCCTCCTTTTCTCCCCCATCCCACATCCACTCCTCAGAAAGGGTAAGGACTCCTGTGGGAGTCAACAAAGCATGGAATATCAAGTTGAGGCAGGATAAAGCTCCTCTCCAGGCATCAAGACTGAGCAAGACCTCCCAGCATAGGTTCCAAACACCTGCTCATGCACCAGGGACAGATTCTAGTCCCACTGTTAGGGGCCCCACAAACAGACCAATCTACATGACTATCACCCAAATGCAGGCTCCCTAGCTGTCTGTCTAGAATCCACGAGCCCCCACTAGCTCTTGTCATCTGTCTTTGTGAGTTTTTGGGTCATGATCTTGATTCCTCTGCCCTTGCTTATGTAATCCCTCCTCCCTCTCTTCTACTGGACTCCTGGAGCTCAGCCCAAAGCTTAGCTGTGGATCTCTGCATCTGCTTCCTTCCGTTACTGGATAAAGGCTCTATGATGACAATTAGGGCAGTCACCAATCTAATTACAGGAGAAGGCCAGTTCAGGCACCTTCCCCACTATTGGTAGGAGTCTTAGCTGGGGTCATTCTTGTAAATTTATTTGACTTTTTCCCGGTACCAGGTTTCTCCCTAACCCATTATGGCTCTTTCTGTCATTGCTCTCCCTCTTTGTATGGCCATCCCCTTCCCCCTACTCCCCACACCTCCAGTTTACCCAGGAGATCTCTTCGATTTCCCATTTCCAGGGCAATCATGCATTAGGGGCCTCCTTGTTACTTAGCTTCTCCGGAGCTGTGGATCATAGCCTGGTTATCTTTGAGTCTTAAGAGTTCTTACATCTTGATTCACAGGCAATTCAAACTGCCTGAAACACTGGCTGTGGCTTGAACACCTCAGAGACCTAAAAGCTCACCTCTGCAGGGACACATATCCTTCAGCAAAACCATACTTCTCCAACAAAGCCACACCTCAATAGTGCTACTCTTTTTCTTCAAACCACCACAGACACATTCAAAAGGTTTACTATACTACATGGCTTAGAACAACAGGTTCCATGTGTATCTTGTATTAAACTTATGACAATAATAACGATAAGATTTATTATTGACCTCCTCCTCTTCAGTGTAGACAAATTAGATACCTGGAGGAAGAGTCCTACCCAACATTCTTGAATATCGTATTTTAAAAGTATAGTTAGTTAATCCCTCTACAGTGGATGAGAATAAAACCACTACCACAATTTTTGAGCCAAATTTGAAGCAAACTTTATTAAATACTAACCAGGACAATGGACACTGGCCAGGTCCATACCCAGGATCCCTGGAGAATGGCCACAAATAATGTTAGTTAGGTGCTGATTAAGTCAAAGCCCACAGGGCTATGATGTACTTCCTGCATTTGCTTAATCGGGGACAGGCATAAATCCTGACATACTTCCTGCCTGCATACTTGGTGTGGGAGGCCCTTCTGTCTGTGTGTTGCTTTTATTGGTTAATGAATAAAGAACTGCTTTGAGTCTATGGCAAGGGCAGAACAGAAGTAGGTGGGGAAAGCTAGGCTGTGTGCAGGGAGAAAGAGGGCTGAGTCAGAGAGAAGCCATGGAGCCACTGCCATAGACAGATGCTGGGAACTTTACCCAGTAAGCTACAGCCACGTGGCGATATACAGATTGATAGAAATGGGCTAAATTAATATGTAAGGGATTAGACAATAAGAAGCTAGAGCTAATAGTCCAAGCAGTGATTTAATTAATATAGTTTCTTTGTAATTATTTCGGGGCTAAGCTAGCTGGGCAGCCGGGAACCAACAAGCAGCCTCTTTGCTACACATACCTGCTGCCTACATGCGATCTAACATGGCCTGGGCAGTTGGGACAACCAACCTGTTGAAAACATGTGACTTGTTAGCTTACAGCAGCAAGAGCCTCCTGCGTTCCCAGAAGTCATATGTCCATGGGCAGTGGGACTTACAGGTTAGAGAGAGGAAAGTAGTAAGCTTAGCATGGCCAAAAGACTGGACGTGGTCATGGGAGGAGAGAGAGAGGCGGAAATGAAGAAAAATGAAGCCAAAGAAATGAAGAAAGAGGGGTGAGAGGGGTCAGACGTTCACATAGCTAAAATAGTAGGGTTACAAGGCAATGGGGCTGGGGGACAGAAGCGCATGAACTGGAGAAGTTTAGGGGAGGGGAGGCTGAGGAAGCCTGGGGCCCAGCATGTGCTTTGGTATTCTCATGCACACCACAGATAGTCATCTGTGATAAGGAAATGGTTTTTTATGAAGAGGGGAATGGGCACCGGAGTTTGGGAGAGTGGAGTTTCCTTTGGCTGACACCCCTCCTTCAAAGTCATGGCCTCTTTTTCATTAATAGTTAATATATTCATGTTTGTATGTATATGTACATATATATCCCTAAAGATAATCTGCTCAGTCCCTATAATGTCACTTGTGTGGGAACATGTCAGCTAGCCCATACCAGATGGCTCTGTGTTGTTGCCTGTCCTATCCCAGTCAGTTACTGAAATTTCCCCATGTGCTCAGAACTGTGGAATCATTTGAACACAACTCCCTTGTGATGGCTAAAGAAAGTTACTATGGTACCCTTTATGCCTTCAGGGCCGTTGACTTTTGTTCTGTTGCCTGTGGGACCCTACGGGCCTGCAGGTGGGGTAAGAATAAGATAATGGTACTTCTGCTCTCTGTATTTTTAAGCCTGCTTATTGCTGTGGGACTGTGATAAAATGGTCTTTTTATTGCTATACAAGGGAAACAAACAACCAAAGACAGCGAAATATTTTCTTGCCCAGCTATGGATTCCGTAGGTCATTGTAATATAAAGTACACCTTTGATATCCACCCTTATAAATCTTCCCTTAGCTCCATGTGGCATGCCATGCTCTTTGGCTCTGAGGATGCTGTCCTGCTAGCACTAAGAATAAATTCCTTTAACCTAAATTCAAACTAAGTCTATGTCTGCAGTCTTCCCCAGTAGATATCAACATCACAGTATTTATGTTTGTTTTCAGGTCTGACCAACTGATGCTGGACAACCAGTACTTTGCTAAACCAGCATAGTCCCAAACAACAGTCTATAGACATGTGTCCTTATACCCGCAGGTAAGTGCACTCTTCCCCTCTCTTCAAGAAAACTTCTCTTTGCAACAGAGACCACTACAGAAAACCATAGTCAAGCAAAATACAGCGTTGTGGAGTGCAATTCTGATGGATCCAACTACAAAACTCTTTTGCCGCTAAGTCTCAAGGACCATTGCCAAAGGGGTGAGGGGTGGAAAGATTGTAAGAGCCAGAGGACCTGTGAGTTTGCTGTGAGATTCTATTACATGGTAATGTCAGGACAGTTGTTCTCGAGATAGAACTTCCTTTCAATTACTTATAAATCTAGCTTGCTATACACAGCACCAGGTTGTTTCTTATGAGAAAGTCTTATATCAATGGATATATCAAAGGGGCGGAGTATGTAGCTCAATAGAATGCCCAATGCCCATTTAGCTTGCATGAAGCCTTGGGCCCAATCCCCAGCTCTGGGTAAACAAGGAGTGATGATGAATGCTTACCATTTCACACTGGGGAGGTGAAGAGAGGCAAGGAGTTCAAGGCCATCCTCAGCTGCTGCCTTAGCTAGAGTTTCTGTTGCCATGAAGACACATCATGACCATGGCAACTCTTATAAAGGAAAACATTTACTTGGGGTGGCAGCTTATGGTTTCATAGGTTCAAAAAGCTGTTGCCCTGACAGTCTGTGTCCTCCTCACCATGACAGGTCTATGAGACCAAGGCTGCACACATGTGCACACCGTTTCTCCTGGTAGCGGGAGGAGCTTATGTGTCTTCTGTATTCCAAACCTTTCCATTTGTTTTCCTAAAGAGTAGATGAGTTGTGGCTGTGAGAGCCAAATGCCTCTCTCCCCATGCAATCCTCTTCCAGCTCTCAGCTGCCGTGCGTGCTAAAAGTCATTTGCTTTCTTTCTACACACCCAGCAACAATTTCAGTGCCAAATTTTCTAGTATGCACTTTTCTTCTGTGTCTTTGCTTGCACTCAAAATTAAGTTCTCCCTTTCAACTCTTTACCCAGAGCCTTCAGTTCGTTTATGCCTTTCCTGATGAGCACATCTTGCAGGTTTTCCCCCAATATGAAGTCTGAAAGCAGTTGTAGCCCCATGCATATCATATCATATCATATACTATAGTGCTGTATCTATCTTCCTGCAGCTATAGTTCAGTGCTGTATCTTCCTGCAGCTATAGCCCCATTCATATCACATCCTACAGTGCTGTATCTTACTATTTCTATTTTCTCCCCTCTTTATATTTCCTCTTCCACCCCATTCTCAGCTCTAGATCTGGACATGGATCTGTGCCCTAGAGATTCACTTAGCATAGCTGTTAAAATCAGGATTCCCTGAAAGTGTTTCTGCCACTTGTGTCTTTACAGCACCGGTCTTTTGTGCAGAAAACTTGCAGCAAGTTCAGCAAAGACTCGGGTTGATTACACTCACTCACCAGGTATGTTATGTATTTGAAAATGTGCACATAAAATAGAACGTGTAAAACATTAACTAGTATCCTAAAATAATTACATCGCTTGTTAATTGTGTTCATCCTTCTACAAACTGATGCTGTTAGACTGTAGTTTTCTAAAACTCAGTGAAAGCCACTTTTCCGTATCATCGTATTTTAGGTCTAAGTGAAAACAAACAAACAAACAAGAGATCATTAATGCTCTTGATGAACCGTTCTTGAACCATAGTTAACTAGTCAGGTAAACAACAGCAGTGTCTCTGATGTGTCTTGCAATGCTCCAGGCTTTCCACTATGTTTAATTTCCAAAAACTTGTCTCCACATCAGTGGAAGAGATAACAAGACAAGCACAGACATCACGGATGTCGTAAATGTGGCTGACCATCTGATCAGAGAAGCAAAAACTAGACTTGGCATGACTGACTGCCCTCCTCTCCTCTCCCGCAGTGTGTGCGCACACACATTCCCTATAAAGCCTGATAGCTGGAGAGGAATGCAGGACAGATGTTTGGGGTATTAGTAGTTGGTTTTCTCTGCTAGCTTTCCAAATAAAGTGCAGCTCAAAGACTCAATTTCTGTCTCCACTCGATGGTGTTTTGAGGAGTCAGGCATTATGGGCACTCTGGTGTTCTGCTGGCTCTGCCAGGGTGGCCTCAGGACTCCCCAGTAAGTTACTGAGTTATGGAGGAGCCAAGGGGTTCAGGGGTCACAATTGCTGCCTAGACTTGCAGGGGCCAGGATTCTGGGGCTGGAAAACTTCCCAGTAACCACCATGTAATTTTGCTTGGGGATTTTCTCTGTCCTGGTTCCATCCTGGCGCTCTTGCTCTTGTCTAACAAGCTGAATTGCTGAGCACTCTCTGGCTTGGCTTCTGAGTTAAGGCTTGCTTGACCTTTGCTCAAGTGCCTCCTGTTCTCATTGCTGGCTGTAGCCTGCATGGCGTCTGCTTGAAAGGTGCCATTATATTCTGTTTTCTGCTTTATTTTGCAACTCTTTGTGCAATGGGTGTCACAGGCCCTGCTCCTGGTGACACCCTCTTGGGTTATGTTCTGGAAGAAAATGTGAAAAGGAAAAAATTATCTGCTCGGTTTGATATTGCTTACCTGCTTACCTTTTGTGTCTGTAATGGCTATTGCAGGGTTAACATATAAAGATTTTTGGCTCTGTATTTTCTCGTCTGCTTTTTTTTTCTTATGTAAGATTAATTAACTGCCTAAGGTCACTGAGATTCTGTTATCTCAGCCAACTCTGGCTGGATTGTAACATTCTGTACACACAGCAGACTGGTGTGAGAAATGGGGGGAAAACCTGTATAAAAGAGCCTTTAAAACAATCCAAGCTTCTAACTGGGCTATCTGGATGCAGAGCCAGGCTGGAAGATCTTTGTGAGTTAGAGGTCAGCATGGTCTATATAGTGAGTTCCAGGACAGCCAGAGCTACAAGTGAGAACCTGTGTGAGAAAAAAAAATCCAATCAGCAGAAGTAAAGTTTTCCTGGAATGTTCAATAGACAAGAACCTTATAACTTAGCAATATGTGAACAGGAAATCTTAATTTTTTTCATGGTGTTACAAATATAACTTGTATTCAATGTTTCCTTATTAAGTTGATAAACTTGTTTATTATATTACTGTATCTCATAATACTAAGGAGAGAATAAAATAAAATAAAGAAGTCTAGGTATGCAGGAAAGAGGAACATGAGGAGAGACTATAAGGACATAAGAGGATACATTTATGGTAAGGCAAATCAGAAAGAAAAGAGAATACATTTTGATAATAAAGGGCTTTGTATGGTAAAATAAGGTTTTGTTCCAAGATAAGCATAACTACATTTTTCTAAAACAGCAAAGGAAATATGAGAGGAGAATTAGGACACTGAAGCCTATTGAAAAGGATCCCAGTAAGCTGCAAAAGGTGTGGGGTTAACCAGGAAGACGGTGCATGTATGGTAGTCAAAGGTTTTCAAAACTTCAAGGGTCAAAGTTCAACACACTGACCCTAAAATTTAGTCCTATTTTAAAGTCCATGAAAGTCTCTCCAGAGTCTCTGTGAATTTCCTGAGTTTCTATGAAGTTTTATACTATTTTTTTTTTTATTTTAGTAGAAATGTGGAGAAGCCTGTAGTGTGTTGACCGCTTAGAGGGTCTGTGCAGGCGGTGGTGCTGGGGTGGAGGAGGAGGGCTCTGTGGATGGGGAGGACTCTGTGGGTGGCCTAGTGCCTGCTTCACATTCATCACCACCTTTTCCGGGAACAGTTTCTAGTCCTCTGACAAAGAAAGGAATTCGAACAAAAGTATAACTTCCACAGCAGGAAACCCCAGTTCTGAAGATACAAGGAGCTGACAGAATCAGAGCCATCCAGTAAGAGATGAGGCTGTCTGAAGGTGAGGTGGAATTAGTTCCCTCCACACTGCAAATATTGTCACCACAGGTGTGTCCAGGAAGTCAGGACTAGAGAGCTCAAAAGCTTAGCCGTGTAGGTACAGTGTGGACAGCCTGTTCCAAGTGACTTCCAGATTCAACAATCTGTCCTGCAAGTTACCAGGAGCCGTTGCTGGCATCGCTGCCCCGCCTGGAGCTGGATCTTATTTTTATTATGTTTTATATCCTCACTGGAAATTAGGCTTCAAAAGTTGTGTATGCAATGTTCTTATTGTCTTAATTTTTACTTATATGTTCTTAAAGTTCAATTCTTCTTATGAGACCTAGAATATCCCTTTACTTTGCAAAACCCCTCAGCTCCAGGAGTTGACAAAGTTTTGTTTATTCTAAAATGTCTCATATGCTCTTTTTTCAAAACACAGCTCCATTCTTAAGTTCTATGGCTTTGTGGTCATGAATGGTGGTGACAAAATGGAGGTTTCCTTTTTTTATTGTTTTAAATGCATCCCTCCCGAGAGGTTATGAAGAGTTTGCATACAACATCAACACAGACTGAAGGTGGAGACTCCCTCAGGCCAGCTCTTGTCCCCATTGTCACCGCATTGCCTGCTCTGCACAACGCTCTGATCTTTATTCATTTCTCCGTTCAGCTGGGACCACAGCAGAGCTTGAGCCTCCTTGAGCCTGCGTTCAAAGAAGGGAGGGCATGTGTCATTTCCGTACTGGCGCCAGAGACATGTAGACATGTATGCTTGCCCAAACACAGCAAAAAACAAAAGAACCGATGAATTCAGTCACTTCTGTTTTCTGAGGAAAACAATGAATTTTATTTTATTTTATTATTTATTAGAAGCCCCTTAAACACAATGCAATGGGATAGGAACTGCAGTTTTGATTACCAGTAGGACTAGGAAAGCCTTTGGAATACAAATTAAACATTGCGCTCCCTCTAGTGGCATAAATATGGATACGTTTAAAAGCAGTATCGCTGGTTACCCATTTTGCAGTCTTCAATTTTATTGTCATTTTGTCTTGAAAGATAGAAAGTTTCTACGCAGCCAGAAATCTTGAGTTCCAGGTCAGCTAGGACTACATACTGAGAATTTGTACATCTTTTTCTCATGTTTTAAAATTCTAGCTTAATACTGTTGTGATTGTAAACTGGTACTTAACATTTACAGATTGAAGTTTTTAAAATCTGCTGAGTTGTTTTGTACTATAACCAGATCTTCTCTGGAGAGTGTGCATTTAAGAACATGTTCTGCTGCTGGCGGTTAAGACATTCTGTGTATATCTGTTAGGGCGCTCGTTTTAAAGTATAGTTTTAGTCTGGTATTACTTTTTAGTTTTTCTATCTGCATGATCTATCTAGTGTCTCCTATTATTAGTAGACTATATACCTGATTTTTTATGTTTTTATTATATGCTTAGTTGCACTGATGTTGAGTATGTATATATTTATTCTATCTCCTGCTTGACACCTTTATCATTGTGCAATGACTTTATCTCACTTTGACTTACATATATTTTATCGTAGGTAGGTATCGTCAATTCCTTCCTTCCTTCTTTCCTGTCTTCCCTCCTTCTAGCCCTCCTCCCGACCATAACTTAGTTTAGTCTCAGTTTGAATAGCATCTCCTTAACACCTTGGTTACTTTTCTGATCACCGACAAAATACCCAAGAGAAGCAGCTTGAGAGAAGCAACACTGATCTTGGCTCACAGCTCCAGAGATCTCGTTGCCTCATGGAAGGGAAGGCATAGTGGAACATGTTGTGTGAGAGGCCGAAACTAATGGGCCAGGCTTTTATTTTTTTTAAACTATTTTGGATTTATTTTAGTTTTATGTGTTTGAGCTTTTGCCTGCTTACACATATGTGCACCTTGTACATGCCCACGGGTGGTTGTGAGCCACCAAATGAGAGCTGGGAACTGAACCCAGGTCTTCCTCAAAAACAGTAAGTGTTCTTAACCTTTGGGCTCTTTCACCAGGCCTTCATAGATGCCCTTAAAGACAGACTGTGTGAATTGTAATTGTTTACTTACCAATCAGTAAATATTGAGAATCTCGGCTTAGTCAGCAGTGCTTGGCAATGGGGACAAGCTGCTCCTTAAGAAGTTTACAATTAATCGGGAGAAGACAATTAAATACAAGATTTGTGTATTTGGTATTGCAAATCTCTACAGTTTATTTTTCTGTCAACCAGTCACTGGGAGGGTAGAATTGTTGCTATCATGTAATGCTATGAAATAATTTATTAGCTGGCTTGCTCACATCATGTATGTCCTGCAAGTGGCCTTGCCAGTCTACCAGCCTAATGACTGCTCAGAAAGGGAAGTGAAGTCACTGAGGCATGACTTGTGCTTCATGGGTCCATGCTGACTCAGACTGATCACTACTTCCCTTTTGTGAAATACTGTGTTTCTTATTTTAAATGTTTGGTCCCACCCCACCCTCCCACCTCTGAGCTAACCCAGGCTCCAGGTGTAAATGACCTCAGAAGTCTGTCAATGTTTGGTATTCATCTCTATTCCAGTTCTGTGGGTTCAGGACCTCCAGTCCCCTAGAATCTCTACAGACACTGAATCTTCTTGTCTTAGC